ATTTGGTTGGATAGATGTGAGTTTGTGACCCTGGGTTTCACGCTTTAGCGATCGTCAGACAAACTGATTAATGTTTTAAAAAATTTGGGTTTATGTAGATTGCGTGTATTGGTGTTATTGTGGAAGTGGTGGGGGAAATTTCGTCGTTTTTTATTCATCGTACTAACGCAAACATCGATGTATGCAGACACATATACATACTTGGTCGTCCGTCGGGACTCATACATATATAAACATATATAAACATATGTGGGCAGTTTCGGCTATGACACATGTATGTATACGGGTGGTGTTATATCTATACATACGCATTTGTAAATAAAACACCAACAACCACTTTTTAGTTCAAGCTACCACCACTATAACTACATTCATGGTTTTATCATTCTCCCACCACCGTTACTAATCATTTCTACCAATTTACAATTTCTACCAATTTACAATAACTATTAACTAACTATCATTGTCTCCAATCCCTTGAAACATTACTATCATATCATACCATATAAACCCGTTATTAAATTGAACTACCCTCTCACCCAGCATATTGAATATTAAACTAAACATCACCATATAAATTAACCAATAAGGATTACAAATTTCTACCTGTTACATATACACAGTCACCATAAACAAACAAATAACCAGCTTTAAATATAACAAATAAAGCCCCATTTTTTTTTTCAAAAATTTAAAAATAAATATAAATAATAATAATCTTTACCTATCATAATTTTACACAAAACCCACCACACGCATATACATACATGCGAGGAAATATTTTCCAGCTGGAAAATACATATGACATGTACACATCAACGAAACATTTCCGCCACACTTCCAATGTTTAGATTTCAACATTTCAACATACAAATGCGTATGTATAGATATAACACCACCCGTATACATACATGTCATAGCCGAAACTGCCCACATATGTTTATATATGTATGAGTCCCGACGGACGACCAAGTATGTATATGTGTCTGCATACATCGATGTTTGCATTAGTACGATGAATGACAAAACGACGAAATTTCCCCCACCACTTCCACAATAACACCAATACACGCAATCTACATAAACCCAAATTTTTTAAAACATTAATCAGTTTGTCTGACGATCGCTAAAGCGTGAAACCCAGGGTCACAAACTCACATCTATCCAACCAAATATATATATATATATATATATATATATATATATATAAATCCTAATGAGCCAGGTACTACCTACCTAGGTTTCACCACATGGGATCCTCATATGTATTAAGCATATCAACCCATATCAGTCTCTGAGGACACCTATTTTTTTTCTAGTACGTTCAGGCCGGTAAATGATGTTAGTACTGTTTATTATAAACAGCGCATTTACTTAAATATTTGTATCTATAAAAATAACGTATAAACAAAAATATATATATATATATATATATATATATATATTTATATATATATATTAATGCATTTCTCTCTATATATCTATCTACCTCTGCTTATATATATATATATATTTTTTATATATATATATATATATATATATAGTGATGCATCTCGCTCTATCTCTGTATCTATCTCTGTATCTCTTATACATACATACATATATATATATATATATATATATATATATATATATTGATGCATCTATCGATCTATCTGATTTCTTCTAAATTCTACTTCCCCATTCTACTTTTAATATCTTCGCCTAAACCCCGAAATTCTTATTATTATTTGGTTTTCATTTCCTTTTACAGTCTTTTCCTTCTTTTTCACTTCCTTTAGTCGCTTGCATTCTTAGTGGAGTTTTCGCTTTGCCTGAGGTGAATTGATTAAAAAAAATGGACCCATATCTCCTATTTTTAACCAAGTGTAAACCGAACCTATGTCAATCTTTCGACCTATGTTTAATTCGATGATGTTGAGCCAATTAACTCATGCTTTATCGTTCAAATATTTGGAGCCACACTGTGTATTTCGAAGAATCGTCTGAAATTTGAAGGTTGCGTGCCTTTTTTGAAAATTAATTTACTATTCAAAAAAGTGATACAAATCTGTAGGGAAACATACGACGTCATCGATGATAACGTTCCGGTTCGCCATTACCATCTCTCAGGCTTGCTGAACCTCCTCGTCAGTGATATGGAGGTCGACTGCCGTCCTGCTCTTTCTTCGTGCGAAACGACTGTCCAGCCATTTTTAAACATCTCGGTCCACTTAAACACACAGTCGTGCACAGTCGCCGTATTGGGTTAAAAGCCTCCTATGAATTTCAGCCCCTAACACACGTTCCGAGCAGAGAAACTGACCTTGCGTCATATACGACAACAGGACAGATTGAAGACAAGAGTGAAGGACGAAAAAAAACGCATAAATTACTTAGTGAGCTTGAATAAATGGATGGCGGAACAAGTTTTAGGAGAAATAAGAAAAAAGACAAAATTTATTAAGAACTACCAAGGAGAGGAAATTGTGGAGAGCCATGGTCGGCTACGTCCTGTAGGAACACGGCGCATGGAAAAAGTAGAAGAACGTGTTTGAGTAAACGGATGGCGGACAAGGTTTAGGAGAGATAACAAAAAGATAAAATTTATTTCGAGCTACGAAGGCAGGAAATTGTGGAGAGCTATGATCGCCAACGTCCTGTAGGGACACAGCACATAGAAAAAGTCGATGGAGTTTAAAGTAAATGGATGGCGGAAGAAGGCTTGGGAGAAATAAGAAAAGAAATAAAATTTATTAAGAGCTACGAAGGAGAGGAAATTGTGGAGAGCCGTGATCGCCAACGTCCTGTAGGGACACGGCACATAAAAAAAATAGAAGAACGACTTTGAATAAATGGATGGCGGAAGAAGGTTTAGTAGAAATAAGAAAAAAGACAAAATTTATTAAGAGCTACGAAGGAGAGGAAATTGTGGAGAGCCGTGATCGCCAGCGTCCTGTAGGGACACGGCACATAAAAAAATAGAAGAACGACATTGAGTAAATGGATGGCGGAAGAAGGTTTAGTAGAAATAAGAAAAAAGACAAAATTTATTAAGAGCTACGAAGGAGAGGAAATTGTGGAGAGCCGTGATCGCCAACGTCCTGTAGGGACATGGCACATAAAAAAAATAGAAGAACGACTTTGAGTAAATGGATGGCGGAAGAAGGTTTAGTAGAAATAAGAAAAAAGACAAAATTTATTAAGAGCTATAAAGACAGGACAATGTGGAGAGCCATGTTCGCCAATGTCCTGAGAAGTTGACATAAAGTATTTGATCGTACGCAGGGCCTTTTTCAGTTTTGTTCATTCCAGTGGACTCGAACCGCGGCGTTGCACAGAATCCGAATTGGTGAAAAAAATCTACTTGTAAGGTATGTGTGTTTTACATTTAAGTCACGGAAAAGGATGACAGCAAAGCCCGGCACACTTACCATATTTAAGTACGTCTCTACGAAAACTCCTACAGACGGAAGTGCAGGAAAGCGAGGAGATTGGATGAAATATCAGCTGCAAAAAAAGGCAGAATACATGGTTGAGGAGAGCCCAACATGTAAATTACAAATTGGAAATACAAAGATCAAACAAGTACAACAATTTAAATATCCGGGAAACTTTTTAAAAGAGGACGGAAATTGCGACACTGAAATCCGAAGAAGCCTTTGGATAGAGAAAGATGTCGTCCAGATGCTAAGCAAAGTATTAAGAAACAGAAAAAAATCGTTATAAACAAAGAAAAGAGTGCTGAACATTAATAGTTTTAGTCCTCCTATATGGTAGTGAATGCTGAACACAGATGAATAAGACACTTGCAGCAACAGAAATATGGTTCTACAGATGGATGCTGGGGATACTATGGACCGACTGTGGGAGCAACGACGAAGTTTTAGAGAAAATCGAAACAAAAATGAAACTTATACGTCAACATCAAAGAAAGGCAGTTGATGCACACAGGACATATTGAAAGCAAGACAGACAGAGGAAAACAGCTCATAGCCAACTTAAATGGATGGCGTAGCAGGGTTTAGGAGACACAATAAAAAGACAAAATTTACGAAGAGTTACAAACGACAGGAAATAGTGGAGAACCATGATCGCTAACGTCCTGATTGGACACGTCACATAGAAGAAGATATAAAGTTGTTAGTAAAACACGACGTTGCATCTGTTTTATGCTGATATTTCTGTTGATATTTTTTTCTGTCACAAACAGTGGTCATTTTTTGATTCGTTTTTACGGCTTATCAACCCTTTGCAGGTTATTTAAAGCCAGAAAATATTTTTAGATTCTAAGAATTTTGGGGGGGATAATAATAGTTTAGCAATAAAAGTCTTAGTAATTAACCCATAGCTGGGGGAGAAGAAGAATTAGATTCATACCTTTCTCAAAAGTATTTGCGCGTAAGTGAATATAACGAACCCAACGGGAATTTGAACCCGGCTCTCCGATTAACAATTCCGAATCATTTTCAATTAAGCCGCACACCCAAACTTATAGCACCTGATATTCCTAAACATTCCTATCAATGTACTGACCGGGCTCGACGTTGCTTAACTTCTGTGATCGTACAGGAACCGGTGTTTCAAATTGATGTGGAAGTAAGCCCTTTAGACCACTAGGACATTCAAGCTTACAGCTCCTGGTGTTCCCAGGCGGTCTGTCATCTTGGTACTGACCAGGCTCAACGTTGCTTAACTTCGTGATGTGATCGTAAGTACTTCAGACGACTAGCACATTCAAGCTTATTCCCCAGCAGTCAGCCATCTAGGTACTGACCAGGCTCGACGTTGCTTAACTTTTGTGATCGTACGGAATCTGGCGTTTCAACGTGATGTGGCCGTTAACACGTTAGGCCACCCGCACATTTAAGCTCACAGCATCTGGAATTTCTAACTGGTCACTCATCTAGATACTGACTAGGTTCGACGTTGCTTAACTTCGGTGATCGCACAGGAACTGGTGATTCAACAAGATGTAGGCGTAAGCCCTATAGACCACCTGTACATTCAACTGACAGAAACTGTTATTCTTATGCGGTCACCCATTTAAGTACGGACCAGGCTCAACATTGCTTAACTTCGGTGATCGTAAGGGAATTACTGCTTCATCATGATGTGATCGTAAGTGCTTTAGACGACTAGCGCATTCAAGCATATTCCCAGCACCTGTTATTCTTATGTGGTCGCCATCTAGGTATTGGCCGGGCTCGACGTTGCTTAACTTCAGAGATCGTCCAAGAACTGGTGTTTCAACGTGATGAGACCGTTAGTCCTTTAGACACCTCGCACATTCAAGCTTACAGCACCTGGTATTCCCAAAAGGTTAAGTATTGACCTGGATCGACGTTGCTTAACTTCAGTGATCGTACAAGAACTGGTGTTTCAACGTGATGCGGCATAAAGCCCTTTAGACCAGTCGTGCATTCAGCTTACAGCACCTGGTATTCCTAAGCGGTTACCCATCTAGGTACTGACCTGGATCGACGTTGCTTAACTTCAGTGAACGTACAAGAACTGGTATTTCAACGTGATGCGGTATAAAGCCCTTTAGACCAGTCGTGCGTTCAGCTTACAGCACCTGGTATTCCTAAGCGGTTACCCATCTAGGTACTGACCCGGCTCGACGTTGCTTAACTTCGGCGACCGTACGGGAGCCAGTGTTTCAACGTGATGTGGCCGTAAGCCTGTTTGTTTTGTAAATCTCCATTCTTTTGTTGAGGTTTCTTGGTTTTAACCATTTTCAATGGAAAGACGATATGAGTGGAGACGCCATTATGTTTTGTTTTTACCGTGTGTATTATTATTATTATTATTATTATTTATTTCTTCTCATTCTTATCGTCCTTCCTCTTCTTATCTATTTGTATGAGAAATTCTTTTCTTTCCTATAGATCCATGTCCAAACTTTCTTTCGGGGGTGGGGGTGGAAGAGCGAAACTTCGCGACCTAGCTAAAATGGTGATTCTTAGAAAACTTACATTTTCGTTGGTTATCAATGTCTTGCTATCTTTTTATTTATTTATTTGTGATTTTTCAGATATTTCTTCCACTTCTAGCCGATCAAGTTTCCATCTTTTCCCAAGAATGCTTTCGTTCTTTGTCTGAAAATACGGGGCTTTTTTTTTTTTTTTTTTTATGGCATGAAGTCGTCCATTTCCTTCACTAATATCCGGGCAGGCGGTAGCTCACCTTCGGGACATATAGGCACTGCATTTTACGTCCACAATTACGACGGATTAGTATCAACAACGCAAAAGAGACTAAAAAAAAAACAAATAAAGGATTCAAGAAAAAAAGAAAAGAAAAAAAAAAGAATGAGATTGAAAAGAAAAAGAAAGAAAAAAAAAAAAAAAAAAAAAAGCATGGAGATCTTCCCCCCGTTGGCTTTTTACGAATAAAAAGCTAGTTTTTGTTCATGGCTTAGAGATATATTTTTTCTCTGGTCGTACCCCTGTCGGGGGGTGCGTTTATGTATATAACTGTGCGCTTTTAAAAGAACCCAGAGCTCAGAGGTAAATCATTGGCTGGCTGAGCGGGACGAATCAGTGCTTGAATTACGAGGGTTAGCCGAATGAGGAGGAAAAATTTGACGAGCGAGAGAAAGAAAAGAAAAGAGGGAAATTGATAAAAAGAAATTGAGTTAGAAGGGAAAGAGAAAGTTACAGAAAATTAGGCAATAGAGGGGAAAAAAGGGAGGCGAGAAAATTAGATGCAATAGAGGGAAAGACGGGGAGGGACATAGAGTAATGAGGGGGACTAGAAATAAGGAAGGTATGATAGAGAGCGTGTGAGAGAGAAAGAATGAGAAATAAGGAAAACGGGAGAGAAAAGGAGAATATTTAAATAAGAAATAGCGGAAGAAATAAAAAATGAGAATATGAAGAAGAAGAAAACGGAGAGAAGAAGAAGAAGAAAAAAAGGGTTTTGAAAAAGAAGAAGAAGATAGAATATAAAGAAGAAGAAGGAAAACGGAGAATATGGAGAAGGAGGAAGAAAAAGAATTGAAGAAGAAGAAGAATATTTAAATAAGAAAAGAAGATAATATAAAGAAGAAGAAGAAGAAGAAGAAAATGGAGAATATGAAGAAGAAGAAAACGGAGAATATGAAGAAGAAGAAGAAGAAAACGGAGAATATGAAAAAGAAGAAGAAGAAAAGGGAGAATATAAAGAAGAAGAAGAAGAAAACGGAGAATATGGAGAAGAAGAGAAAGAAGAAAACGGAGAATATGAAGAAGAAGAAGAAGGAAACGGAAATGAAGAAAAGATGAAGAAAGAAGAAGAAGAAGAAGAAGAAGAAGAAGAAGAAGAAGAAAACGAATATAAAGAAGAAGAAGAAGAAAAAAAAGAAGAAAAGAGAAGACCGGAACGGTGAAAGAGAAAAGAAGAAAAAAGAATCAAGAAGAAAAAAAGGAAAATAATTCAGAAGAAGAAGAAGAAGAAGAAAACGGAGAATAAAAATGGAAGAAGAAAAGAAAAGAAGAAAACGGAGAAAAAGAAGAGAATCATGAAGAAGAAGTAAAGAAGAAAAAGAAGAAGAAGAAAAGAAAACGAATATAAAGAAGAAGAAGAAGAAGAAGAAGAAAAAAAACGGAGTACCGAAATATGAAGAAGAAAACAGAGAAGAAGAAGAAGAAGAAGAAGAAAACGGAGAATATAAAGAAGAAGAAGAAGGAAACGGAGAATATGAAGAAAAAGAAGAAGAAAACGGAGAAGAAGAAGAAGAAGAAGAAGAGGAAGAAGAAAACGGAGAATATGAAGAAGAGAATTTAACAGAAGGAAATGCGCAAAAAAAAAAGTAGAAAATGGAGAAGACTGGAACGGTGAAAGAGAAGGGAATGAAGAAGAAAAAGTGAATCAAGAAGAAGAAAAAGAAGCAAAAATAATTCAATTGGAGAATGACGAAAAAGAATAAAAGAGAAATTGAATCAAGAACAACAAAAAGAAAAAAAGCAGAAAACATTTAAGAAGAATATGAAGAAAAGGAAACGAATCAAGAAGAAGGAGAGAATGAAAAACAAAGAGAATGTAAATGAGGGAAAAGCAGAAAAATAAAATGAAGAAGACGAGAATGATGGAGAAGAAGAGAATCAAGAAGAAGCAGCAAAAGAAAAAGTAGAAAAAAACACGGAAAAGAAGAAGCGAATCCATGACAAGAAGTGAATTATTTCTGCTTTTTTCTTTTTCTCCTTCTTGATCCTCTTCTTAATTTTCTTCTTCTTAATTCTCTTTTTCTTCTTCTTCTTGATTCAAGTAGAGAATGACGAAAAAGAATAAAGAAATTGAATCAAGAAGAAGAAAAGAAAGAAGAACAAAAAGAAAAAAAGCAGAAAACCTTTAAGAAGAATATGAAGAAAAGGAAACGAATCAAGAAGAGAATAAAGGAGAAGGAGAGAATGAAAAAAAAAGAGAATAAAGAAAATGAAGAAGAGACCCAAGAAGAACTGGAAGAAGAAGAAGGAAAAGCAGAAAATATTTAAAAGAAGTGAATCAAAAACAGATGAAAAAAAAGGCGAATGTAGAATGAGTAAAAGCAGGAAAAAAATAGAATCAAGAAGACGAGAATGAGGATGAAAAAAAAAAAAAAACAGAAAAAGTCACGCGGAAGAAAATGAAAAAGGGAACGAAGAAGAAGAGAATGAAATAGAACACTATTTACATTATTCTTCATATTCTTCAATTTCTTTATTCTTTGTTAAACGGATAAAAAAAATGTCAACCATTACTACCGCATCACAATTACCATTGCCGCACTAGTCCACAATTACTACCGCACCACAATTACAATTACCGTATCAGTCCACAATTATACTTACTCCCTCCCCCCAGCAAAATTAATACCTCCGCATAAATACTAATAAGCATTATAAATTTTAGTTTCTACCATTTACATATGCGAAAATCGCCAAAAATCAAGAAGAAGAAGAAGAGAATTTAGAAGAAGAAAATCAAGGAGAAGAGAATTAAGAAGAAGAAAATTAAGAAGAGAATCAAGAAGGAGAAAAAGAAAAAACAGAAATAATTCACTTCTTGTCATGGTTTCGCTTCTTCTTCTCCGTATTTTTCTCTAATTTTTCTTTTACTGCTTCTTCTTGATTCTCTTCTTCTCCATCATTCTCTCCAAGTTCTCCACCACCTTAACCAGATATTGAACTCACCTCATCTTTGCTACAATATTTATCATAACGTTTCGGTCGTTGTACGCTCTGGCCTTCTTCAGGTGGTTGGAATATCGAACTGAACCCCTTATTTCACTTATAATTAGACTATTCTAGCTCCACGTTGCATGCCTAATGGTTGTTAATACTCCTCTCCACGTTCTCCACCACCTTAAGCAGATATTGAACTCACACTCTTTGGCTCCTGTCACTGGATCTAATTAACGCTTTTATCCACTGTGACATATGTCCTTGAGGATATCTGTGTATGAATTTCTGCATATTATAAACCTATTGTCCTCAGCGTTCATTTTTTATCAGTGCTCATATTGCAATTTTTGGTGTTGTCATTTTATGTTTTTACCAGAGCTCATATTGCAGTTTTCTTTGTTATTATCGCTTTTCTCTGGCACTCCTTATTACTGGTTCCCATATTGCATTAATTTCTATGCTTGGTCGGTTCAGGAGATTTTTGTGGCCTAGCATTGGTGCTAATTCCTTAAGTTTACGAATTTTCCAATGATGTTCTTTGTCTGTGATCTCAGCCTGATTCCACAGAGGGCGGTGATCTCCCTTTTCTCTCCATATGTGGTCAGCGACGCCTGATTTTTCTACTTCCCCTCGTGTTACAGCTTTCTGGTGTTCTTGAAGCCTTACCTTAAGGGGGCTCCCCTTTACATTTCTTTCCGCAGCTGCACGGGATGGCGTACACACAGTCTTTAGCCATGTTCTTCTCTAGGGGGGGGGTCTTACTCGGGAGTGATATCTGCGAAGTGTCGTCCAGCTTTTGAAGGTTGTCCTGATGTTATATGGACCGCAGATCCTTTGTATTTTCTCTGATAACCCCATTCACATAGGGCAGACAGACTGTTTTCTGAGTGTTATTGTCCTCCTCTTGTACCCGCCTATCCCAGTTTATTGATGCTGCTCCCATGTACCCAGGGTAGTTGTTACGTTGTAGGGTACTACACTATCCACATACATATGACATCTGAAAGACAGAAATATTACACCAAGAATAAACTGGAAAATATTGAAAAACGCACCTGCTTACAAGAATATTACAAAGAAATGCCTACACGAAAAGGTAGCAATAATTGCTCATACCTAACAAAAGAAATTATTAAACATAAGATCAAAAATAATTTCCAAATGCAGACATGAAAACAAATACCTATTATCACAATTTATGTTAAACGGATAAAAAAAAATATCAGCCATTACTACCGCATCACAATTACCATTGCCGCACTGGTCCACAATTACTACTGCACCACAATTACAATTTTTGTATCAGTCCACAATTATACTTACTCCCTCCCCAGCAAAATTAATACCACCGCATAAATACTAATAAGCATTATAAAATGTTGTTTCTACCATTTACATATGCGAAAATCGCCAAAAAACAAGCAAATAACCGGCTTTCAAATAATAACAAAAAAGCATTAAAAAATTTTAAAATAATATCAATTTTACCTACCATAGTCTTACACTGACCGTATTATAAGAAAAAATAGACGGATA